TATACTCAAATATATTATGGGGTGGCCGATGTCCGATATTTAGTTTTAAGGCCGATACCGATACGGGGCCGATTATATCGTGCATCCCTAATAGCTTCTATTATTAAAAGATCTAAACGTTTGTCTAAACTTAGTTATAAACTGATTTTTTTTTTTTATTGTGTCTACATATTGTTTATTAACCCACATTAACTATATGCTATTAGAAGAAAACATTATGAAGATTAGAGAGAATTAGGTGACATGATCCCTGTTTTAATCTGAACTTTTTCTTTCTTTTTTTTACCATGTTGATGCTCGTTGTTTATGTAAATAAATATTTAAAGTAAATTTCAACTCAGCCGATTTCAGGAACTAAACATCTGTTTTTGGTCTCTTTCACGAGTTCAACAGCTTCTGGTTTTACAGCCTGGCAAAGATTTGCTGCCAAGATTAAACCAGTTTCTTGAATTCACGCTGGTTCCTCAGACCTTTTTCCAACCAGCTTCTAGAACAGGGTTCACCAACCTTTTTAAGGCTGAGGGCTACTTCATGGCTACCGAGTCACAGGAATGGCTACCAATACTGACCTATGAACTGGAGGGATCAGTGTTCACCTACAGTAAATCTCATCCATAAAAACTCATTTTTATTCCTATTTTATTCGTTTATTCATTTCTAATTTTCTTTTTAATATTGTCATTTTGAAACCACAGAAATATGATGAAATAGTTAACATGATGAAATAATACATAAATGATTAAAAAGAAGAGCAACAGAATAAAAAAAAATAAACTTAACCCACTGAGTGAGTTCTTTTGTTTTCAGAAGACGAAGAGGGCACCCCATGTGGTCCTTGGGGGCCCCTTGGTGCCCACGGGCACCGTGTTGGTGACCCCTGCTCTAGAACCATTTTGATTAAACAAAAGAACAAATAAATGCTGATATTAAAATATAGTTTGTACAGAATTGTATGCTGCTGTGACATCATCCCCATCATCATGACTTGGACATTTTTACCATTTTGTTCTGGAGATGTGCTGTAAAACCCATTGTTTTGTTCACCCATAGGAGGCGCTGGTGTTTTCATATGGGACAGGTGGCCTACATACACTTCCACTGCATTTGGTGAGGTTCCAATAGCTGCCTGCTTTTCATGTTTGTAGCCGTACAGTATGTAGGGGAATGGCTCCAAGGTGGTCTCCATGCAATATTTGACCCCAAACTCTCATTTTTGTTGTGGGTTTCATGTGGCACTCTCCACCATTCAACAGCAAACCATGTTTTATTTTGGAGGTGTGACTGCAAAGAGCTCTATTGACTGCTTAGCCTCAAAGACAAACTAACCTTTTTTTCATTTTCTACTGATGGTCTGTTTGTTGTGCACGCTTTAATTTTTGCAGTCATGCTTTAATTTTTTTGGTGACCATTTTGTCCTTGTGTACTTGTGTTATGTTGTTGAATTGGTACATTTGCGTGCATCTGTTTGCTGTTTTACAAGAGATGACTTAAATCAAACAAGAACATGTGGCTCATTTAAATGGGCAAGTACATCTCAATAAATTAGAATATCTTTAAAAAGTCAGTCCATCCAAAAAACAGAAACTCATATAGATTCGTAACACATAGTGATATATTCCATTTATTGATTATTTGATTGGAAATCGAGGCTGAAATCGAAGAATGAAGAGGCTCAAAACATGAGTCTCTTGAGGTCAAGTATGATTTTGGATGATGATTTGGAGAGCCAGGTCATCTGCTGCTGTTGGACCGCTTTCAGTTTCAAAGTTAATATTACTGTGATCGATCTGCCAGAATCTGGTCCGACCTGAACCCCACAGATAATCTATAGCAGAGGAGCCCAAGTCCAGACAACGAGCGACTCTGTCCTGCACTTTTTAGTTCCAACTCTTCTTTAAAATACCCGAAACAAATGAACTGCTCATCACCAGTAGAGCTGAATGACACGCTGATATAATTCAACCATCTGATTGAGGTGTACTGAAGAAGGGAGGCATCTACAAGCTAACCTGACTCCGCCAGATGGATTTGCTCCGCATATCCATCTGGAAACCTTCCGTTGAAGTAATTTTGGGAAGGGGCGAAAATACTGGTTAGCTGATTGGCCTATGCTGGTGATAGACGGGCCAAATAAACCAATCAGATCAACGAAGCATATGACGTACTAACAGAGCGACAATGAAAACACAACAAAAAGCTAATTGATAGATCAAACTCTTGCCGAAACCAGTCGGGAGAAGAGCAAAAACATCTTTTCCTCTGAGAAAAGCCTCCATAGCAGTGTTTTGCTCTTCTTTCAGTGAAGAAATACTCTGTAATTCCGATAAAACTTGCTCGATAGCCACGCTAACGCTAGTTTCATCGGCTGAAGCCGCCATGTTCTTTAGACTGAACTGTCGCGCTTCTCGTTGCGTCACACCTCAACCCGCCTCAAAGCCAACGCTGATTGGACGTTCGTTTGGTGAACGGCTCCAAATTTTCTTTAACGGAGAGTCTCCAGACTGATTTGCGAGTGAAACCTTGAAAGCTTGCGAGATCAGGATAGTCTCACAAGGCTATCTACAAGCTGCTGGATAGTAGTTCTTGATTACTGGACTTTGGCAACCTTGATCTGTGGAGAATTGGCGCCCAATACAGTAAAGCTGAAAGCTGGTAAATAAAATAATTCTTGCAAACCATGCTGCAAGCAGGGATTCTTGTTGCAAGAGTCCCAACCAAATATTAAGTCCTTATATTTTATGGCACAGCTTCGAAGTAGCAAGGAATGTATTCATTATATATTATTTCAGAAATTGAACGGTTAGTTTTCCCTATTTTAAAGCCATACTTACCAAATGTGAGAGGAATTAACTTGGATCACTTTAAGAGCTAAGAGTTTGTATTTTATACAAGTTTTTTGTCATTACACTATCACAAGTACAAAGCAACAAAATCTAAATTGACTTCCTGCAACCATAACCCATCCTCTTGGGTAACAGTGGGCTGCCATTGAGCAGAGCCTGGGTACAGTGTGGGGTTAAGGATTCCAAGCGCAATGCCCTAACCACTAGGCCACACTCACAAATAGGCTTTATTTGAAATTCTAGTTTATTGAGAACTTTACTCGAATTGGCACAATAATTGTCCACAGTAAAGATGCAAGGTATGCTAACCCTGCAACCTGCCTCTGTTTTGTCTTCCAGGGGAGCGACAACGAGTACGAGGTCGACCCAAACCGACAGAAGACGCATTCGTTCGTCAACCACTACATAAGCGACCCCACCTACTACAACTCCTGGCGCCGCCAGCAGAAGGGAATATCCCGAGCACAGGCCTACAGCTTCACCGAGTCTGAGTCGGGAGAACCAGAGCATCACGCCCCGCCTCCGCTGCCCCCTCTACCGCCGCTGCCCCCGCAGCTCAGTTCGCCCAGCCCTCAACCTCAACAGGCCCAGGGTCAACCTCAGGGTCAAGGCAACCTGTTTCGGCCCAAAGGAAGTCGGACTCCCACCCCCTCCCAGCAGTGCTCCAACCCCCCCAGCCAGCACAGCACCCTGTACAGGCCCCCCAGCAGCCTAGCCCCCGGGTCACGCGCTCCTATCGCTGGCTTCTCCTCCTTTGTGTGATAAATGCGGAAAAGGAGCAAACTTTCTGGAAGCGTTAACGCGAAATAGAACATCACGGCATGATGCCAAATCCGCCAGTTTAATCAATCACAGCAGTTTCTCGCCTCTTATAGCCTTCTGTTTTTCATTTTTACGCTTTTTTTTCTTCCGTTCTACTTAAACGGTGACTTTTCACAGCGCTTGTTTCTCTTTAGTGTGGAAGTGTGCCATCGTAAACTCAAGTTTTTCCTTTTACCTGTTGATAAAACACATCTGCAGTTGTATTTGTTGAACTACTTGCATGACTTTGCTTCTCATTCTTTCCTCTTTTTGTTGCTTTTTAGAAACACGTTAATCAGCAATCTCTGTACAAAGTCACAAGTCTTTGAAAACACAAAAAAAAAACATTTGCTACATATATATCTATATAGATATATATAAATATATATATATAACATATATATAGTGGAGAGACCTAGAAGTCAAAATTGAGCTGGTGGACATAATCTTTACAAACGGAGACTCATGAAGAGAAGAAAAGACTTGATTAGGCTCCATGTAAAAACAAAATATGAAGGATAACAAACATAACTTGTACCAAGGACACAAATCTGCATTAGTGTGGAACCAAATCGTTGGGCTGGGAGCGTGCACACATGCAGAGGTCAGAGGTGACTGTCCTGTGCCTGAGGGACTTACCATCTATGAAATAGGTGTATGTCTGTTTAACTAAAGAATTTTTTCATGAGATTGTTGCAGCGGAAGACGGCCGCCTTGATTGAAACACTTACTTCTACCACCTGGCACCAGTTGTGACCACGCCGTTCATGGTGCCCTCCAGCTACCAGAGCCTCCTTTTACGCTCAACGGATGGAAGTCGGCGGCGAAGGATCGAACCTTCACTGCTTTCTCTCTGCTCTTGTATAAACACATCAGTCTCGATCTGCTGAAACGCTTTGATATTCAGCCTGTGAGGGGGAGTTTTGAAACTGTGGACACTTCTGCTGAAAGCGCTTAAGTGTGATTTTGTTAAACAAAAAAAAAAAAGGGAAAAAAAGTTTTTTTGTTTTATCTCCTTGTTGCTATTTTTTTTTTTCCTGCCTCTGATCACACTGCAAAAATGATCTCAAAATGAGTAAAATTGTCTTAAATTAAGGGTATTTACCCTTAATTTGAGCAGTTAAATAAGATGATTTGCCACTGGAATTAGTATTTTTACTCTTAAAATAAGGCATATAGATAAAATGAACTTAAAATAAGACAAAGAAATTGTTTTTTCTTATTTTAAGTGTAAATTGTCTTGTTCCATTGGCAAAGTGTCTCACTTAAATCCTTAATTCAGGAAAAAATTCACTTATTTTAAGAAGAAATTACTTATTTAGATGTCATTTTTTTTGCAGTGCACCATCGCTGTGCAGCGCCGAGCCTGTTCAACAGATGATGTCATCAATTTGCCTCACTTCTCTTCTTTAAGTGTATTCAGCTACTCTCTGCTATCCAGGTGTGACCTTGCTCTAACGCGTACGTGTGCATGGGCGTGTGTGAATGATTACACTTTGTGTACGTCAAGCTTTACAGATCATTCACTGTAAGTATGTGTATAAACGGATCGTCCTGCAGCAGCTTTAAACCTGCCTGGAGTTATGCCACAGAGGGGCTGGCAACGTCCGACCGCTCACGAGGCGAACTTACAACGCTATGGTGAAAATTCAGTGATGTGTTTCTAGTTACCACAGTTCAGATACAGAAAAGACGTCATCTACTTGTTCCCTTAAGGTTTTATTTCAATTTTTCTTTATGTGGAGTGACTTCATTGTACGCAACAAAAGCTTATCACGCAGAATCTGAATGAATATATTATCACAGTACATTTCTGAAATAAATTATTTTTCAATGTTAGTCCGTCTGGTTTTAAGTTTACCACATTAGGAAAATATGGAAGACAAGGACTGCCAAAATCTGATGCAACAATATATAAATGGCTAAAAAATAAATGGAGGACAAAACAAAAAAATGCAGCAAAATTAAAAATCTTTTTGTTTTTGATACCCAGAATGTGTGATAAATTAAACTTTAATGTTCATATGTATATGTACATTTATTTATTTATTTTGAAGGATAGACCTTGCAAAGGTTTTGGGGGTTTTTATTGGTTTTCCATCATTTCAAGTGTTTCCTTGATGTTCCTTTTAATATTCTGGCTTTTTTTTGTTTGGAGAAAGACTTCCGTAAGGCTTCAAAACAATTATGGTCCAATATCCGGCTTTCCAGGAGGGGGAAGCAGTGCAGTACCAACACTATTTATAGTGGGGGTGGTGTGCTGCTGACCTGGACTTGGGATGTCGTGTTTCAGTCAGCTTAATACTTCCAAGACATCCTTAATCCCACCAACACATCTTCCATTAAGGAAGCAGAGCCTGGGGGATCTGGGTCAGGTACTCCCATCACTGGTGCTGAGGTCACTGAGGTGGTTAAAAAGCTCCTCGGTGGCTAGGCCCCAGGAGTGGATGACATTCGCCCTAAGTACCTTAAAGGAATAATACACCCAAAACATGATTAGCCTTCATTTTCTACTCACCCCCATGCTGAACAACACTCTGGAGTACTTTTTTGATATCT